ATTCATCGCCCAAAGCGGACATCTGTTCCCCGATGACGGCAGCCGGATCGACGTGATTGCGGCTCGACTTAAAGGAGCGGCAGCCACCTGGTATGTAGGCTTACACAATAGCCGTGGCCCCGAACTGTTTAATATGGGAGCATTTATGTGGGCGTTGAGGGCTCGTTTTGAGGATGTGAATGCGAGTCAAAGGGCCAAACGCTTTCTGCGCACCTATAAACAAGGCAGGCAGTCGGTACGAGAATATACTGCCGAGTTCCAGAACCAAGCCGCTAAGTTGAGGGACTTCCCCAGTGCTCCCGCGAGCCGAACGGCTTAGCTTATTCCGAGGGGAAGCTATATGTACCTGTGGCCCTGCGGGGCGAAACGCTTCAAGCAGCGCATGGTTCGAAACTGGCAGGCCACTGGGGTTTTGTTAAGTCTCTACAATTACTCCGCAGACAATTCTGGTGGCCCCACATGCGCAAGGATATGTTGGACTTTGTGCGCTCTTGTCAAACATGTGCCTTGTCTAAATCTCGAGGGGGGAAACCTCCTGGTTTGCTTCAACCCCTCCCCACCCCCTCCAGGCCCTGGGAAGTGGTGTCTATGGACTTCATCACTGACTTGCCACCCAGTAGGGGAAAAACTGTAATTTGGGTGGTTGTCGACTTATTTTCTAAACAGGCACATTTCATTCCATTCCCCTCCTTGCCTACTGCCCAGGCATTGGCTAAAACGTTTTTCTACCATGTGGCGCGCCTCCGTCTTTTGCCATCAAAAATAATATCCGACAGGGGGACTCAGTTCGTTTCTAAGTTTTGGAGGGAACTACCTAAAAATTTACGTGCTTTACACTCAGTGTTCCATATGAGTCTCTTGAAAAAAGACACCGGTTCGTCTGCATGGCGACCAGAAAAGGCCCCTCCACCTCCTATATTGCTCGAAGGGGAGGAACATTTTGAAATTGCTGATATCTTAGACTGTAAAGTAAAACGGGGAAAACGTTGGTATCTCATTGAGTGGGTGGATTTTGGTCCCCAGCACCGGGAATGGGTGGAAGAAGGGGATATTCGGGCCCCTTATCTGGTTGTCAGCGAGCTGCCATTATGTGTTCTGGTTCCCTGAGTGTGTTCCCTTCCCCCCCCCTTGCATTCTGTTGTATTCTTCACATTCTTGTATTGTAGGTGCCTGGAACAGCTCAAGGTTATCCAGCTGGTGTGGGAAAGTGAAACTCTGTTATCTGCTGGCTCGTTAGTAGTGTCTTTCGCCTGTGAACTAAGGGTCTGTTTTGAGAAAGGCAAACCGTTACATTCCCATGTAATTACCTGTCAGTGCCTTCCTTATTCGCGCCGGCGGGAAAGGGATCTATTGGTTATAACTTAGTTCAAAGTTCTTTTATTATGTTACCCTCTGGGGCATGAGCCCATTCCTAACAATTCTCTTGTTCCTGCTTCTTTCAAACGCTTTGGAATAAATCTTGCTTTAACCTTTAAACGTGGATTTATTTTGGAGTCATTGGAGATTCAACACTTGCTACCTCTAAGTCTGCCAGAGGATTGAACTGATGAGGTTAGTTAGTTTCAGATTTTTCACGTCACCAAATCCCTCTGCTTCTGCCGAGACACTCGGCCTGGTCTTCTTTGCTTTCCCGTCAGCGACGGAGGAGCAAAGGTGGAAGAGAAAAGGTCAGCCTATTCTGCTTGGCCTCAGAACCGCCTGTGGTGGCCGAGTAAACCACTCCCACCCCCCCTGCAGTCCCAAGGGTCCCAAGGTCAGCTCACAACAACACAACCCTAAAGTGCATATACAGAGGCACATCCTAGATGAAGCACTCCTGGCTAGCTGCACACCATGGTGATAAGGACACCTCCCTTCCCGCTCGGATGCTCACCTGTGGATAATAGATTATTTCACTGCTGTGGCACACCCGTTTGCTCCCAGACAGGTTCTTCTTGGTGGGCTGCCCGGTTTTTCCACAATACTTATTGTTGTTATGCCAGCGAAGGAGAGCCTGAGCCTGCAAATCCCAACAGTCACATGAACACAATCAGACCATCAGTCCCTCAAAGTCAGTACGGCTTACTCAGCGTGGCCATGGCTCTTCAGGGTCTCAGGCAGAGGTCTTTCACATCACCTACTATCTAATCCTTTAACTGGAGATGCTGGGATTGAACCTGGGACCTTCTGTATGCCAAGCAGGTGCTCTGCTACTGAGCTACAGCCCCTCCCCAAGGTGATGACTTGGGGTGCTTTCAAAAGCTTTACTTCCCAGGTCTAATCTGAATTATTCAGGAGAGCATATTTACATAGGTAATAAGGCTAAACTATAAACTGAATGGTTCAGAAAGAAGCTTTAATAAACGGAAAGGGACTGTGGACTATACTACTGTACGTACTATCTGTTGCTATATGCGTTGTTCCACTATCTAATTTCTGCAGTGTTTAACATGTCACATGAAGACTTATGCTGGGTGTCAGATGTCTGCAATCCTAATCCTATTACATTGCTTATTGGATTTCCTATCCTGTTGATTGTATTCTCTTGTGCTGCATGATCTCCCTTGGGTCTCAGTGAGCAAGGAAGACTACATAACATAATAAAATAAATAAATACCGAGAAAATCAGCGCTGTATGTTCCTCTTCTAATCGAAAGAATGTTTTCCGCGAATCTGCAAACGACCCACCAAGTTCAGATTCAATGGCGGTTCTCTCTAAGGATCCTGGAATTCAACAAATCTGCAGGAATCAGACATTTTGGTTATAACCCCCCCACACACCCTCCCCCCCCCCAACTAACACCACATAAAGATGGTATAGTAGTTGATACAGCCCTGACCTGGATGGCCCAGGCTAGCCTGACCTCGTCAGTTCCCAGAAACTAAGCAGGGTCAGCCCTGGTCAGTATTTGGATGGGAGACCACCAAGAAATACCAAGATTGTGACACGGAGGCAGGCAGTGGCAAATCACCCCTGAATGTCCCTTGCCTTGAAAACCCCACGGGGTTGCCGTGAGTCAGCTGTGACTTGATGGCAAAAAATTTTGATGCTACTGTTGTCACATCGGGCAGCAGTGTCATTCCCAGAGTAATATGGTTCTCCCAAAATGAAGGCATGTTCAGAGAAAACAACTTCATAAGAAGTGCAAGGAGGGGAAAAATGAAGTTGAGATTCTGACTTGCAAAGAGTATTATCATAAAAAACTTCAGTGGTCTCTGAGGAGCTTCAAATGAATGCCTCAGACTTGGCGAATGGGCAAGAAAATGGCCCCTTCTCCTCTCTCAAGCAGCCTGCCCTTTGTTTTGAAACTCCTGAGGGCTGGGCAGCCACACAAGCAAAGTAACCCCCTCCCCCCAGACAGGGCCTTGCAGTGACAGTGAGGAACACAGATAAAACTGCCTCTTCTATTTGTGGCTTGCATCAGTGGAGGGGAGGGAGGGAGGTGCTTTTACCAGATTCCACCCCTCCATCACTGCAGCACCTCATCCTCCAGCAAATTTTCCTTGTGATGCTCTCCTGAACCTCAGAGAGGTCTGATGACCACCTGGAAGCTGCTGTAAAGAGGAAAGTAGGGGAAAATTCTGACCTGGAGAGCCCAGGCTAGCCTCACCTTGTCAGATCTCAAAAGCTAAGCAGAGTCGGCCCTGGCTAGCATTTGGATGGGAGACCTCCAAGGAATACCAGGGTTGTGACACAGAGGCAGTCTCTTGCCTTGAAAGCCCCACCGGGAGTTCACCATAAGTCAGCTTTGACTTGATGGCAATTTCTACCATAACCAGGGGGGAAAATCCACTCTGCTAACTTCTTTGATACTTCTTTTGCTAGATCCAAGCTCGGATTTATAACTTACTAGCAGTAAAGCCCGTTGTGGAAATAAATACAACGAGATCTAGAAAGAGGCTCTGGGGGAGTGCTCTGGCTTTGGGCAAACAGTGGCGTTTTGCTGTGGTGACCTCAGCAGGGTATAATGACAGAGTCCACTGTTTTCTCCAGAGGAACTGATCTCTGCTCCCTGAAGAGCAGTTGTAATTTTGAGTGATCTGTAGCCCTCACCTGGAAATTGGCAACAATTGTTACCCAGGATGAAATGGCTGGTTTGGAGGGTGGAGTCTATGGCATTCTACCTGTCTGATGTCTCACCCCTCCGCAAACCCCACCCTCTCCAGGCTCCACCCCTCAAATCCCCAGGAATTTGCCAGCCTGGAGTTGGCAACCCCATCTCCTTCCCAGCTAACCATCAACCTACCATTATCTGCCCCTTTGACTTCAGCTGACTTCCGCCCTCCCTTCTGCAGAGCAATTGTAATTTTGAGTGGTCTCCAGCCCTCACCTGGAGATTGGCAACAATGGTTCCCCATGAGGGACTGAGTGGTTTGGAGGGTGGAGTCTATGGCATTGTACCTGTCTGAGGTCCCACCCCTCCTCAAACCTCACCCTCTTCAGGCTCCATCCCTCAAATCTCCAGGAATTTCCCATCGGGAGTTGGCAACCCTATCAGGATTGGCCCCAATATGTTTTCTCCCAAAGGCCAAAGTAGGTGACTGGACCAAACTAAGTTGCCTACCATCAGGCACTGAGGGGAAAGTAGGGTTGCCAGCTATAAGGAGGGAAATACCTGGAGTTTTGGGGGGTGGATTCTGGAGAGGGCAGCATTGGGGGGGGGCGGAAGGACTCAGCAGGTATAATGTCATAGGGTCTACCCTCCAAAGCAGCCATTTTCTCCAGGGGAAACTGATCTCTGTCATCTGGAAATCAATTGTAGCAGTGGGAGATCTCCAGGTCCCACCTGGAGTTTGGCAACCCTAGGGGAAAGTGTGCTGCACAGCAGGGGGTTGAAGAGAATGGTTTGATGGGTGCTGGGCCAAGATTGGCAACAATAGTTCCCCAGGAGCAAATAGCTGGGTTGGAGGGTGGAGTCTATGGCACTGTAACCTGTCTGAGGTCCCCATCTCCCCAGGCAGCTTTTAAAACATGATCCTGGGACCTACACACCACCAGACATTCCAACTGCCTTGCGGGGGGGGGAGTATGAGGTGTGGAATGGAGTGAAGTCCAATCAGCTTCCATATGCAAAAGACCTTGAAGGTTCCATATGCAACTGACATTCCAACTGCCTTGCGGGGAGGGGGGAGAGTTTGAGGTGTGGAATGCAGTGAAGTCCAATCAGCTTCCATATGCAAAAGACCTTGAAACGCTGGGCGGGACTGCACAAAGCAGCCAGCCAACCCAGCCAGTGTCTTCTGAGTGGCAGTTCTTCTGGCCTAACACTAAAGGCGGGCATTTTAGAATGTTCATATAGAATGTTCTTACTCAATTATACCCTGTTTCCCCGAAAATAAGACCTACCCCCAAAATAAGCCCTAGCAGGATTTCTATGCATTTGTGGTATACGCCCTAGTGTGTCTTCTTGAGAAAAAATAAATATAAGACAGTGTCTTATTTTCGGGGAAACACGGTATATAAGGAGAGATTAGCGCACATTAAATAAAATATGTGTTTTCTGGTTGGCTCATCTCCAACAGATAGTGTAGAGCCAGAAAAAGTACAGAAATCTTAACAGACCACAGGAAGGAACATCTTATCTACAAAGAAATTATTAAGGCAGTGCGGGATTTTTAGTTTAGCACAGGGAAGGAGAGATTCAGCTATAAAGTAGCCATAAAAAAAATCAACATTATCCCTCCATCAGAAAATCATCATACAACCATCCAAAGCCAAGCTACAATGCAGTAAGACTACCTATAATACTTTGCTCATGACCTAAAAACCTTTCCTAAACAAGGTGTTTTTTCAAAGCCTTCTAATGGTCAGGATGGAGTTACAGTCCTATGCTCACTTAGCTCGCTGGAATTTTTAATTATGAGAAAACCTGAGTTTTAAAAGCCCTGAAATTCTAACCTAGGTCCAAAGCAAAGTACGGTGTGCACTCCTCTGAACAGCCAACCAGCATGGAGTCCTCTATCTGCCTTTCACTCCGGCTGAGTTTCATGAGGATTCTTTTCATTTCTAAAAATCAGAAAAGGAATCAAGGAAGAAAGAGTTAAGATGGTACAGTAACACAACAGCAGCAGAGGTCATTCTGTCTTACCATTTCTTCACTCTAGGACAGACATATTGGAACAATGTCACTGAAGAAGCCCACACAACCTAAGCTAGTTTCAACCAGTGTTCCCTCTAAGCTGAGTTAGTGTGAGCTAGCTCACAGTTTTTTAGCCTCCGGCTCACACATTTTTGTCTCATCTCAGGAAGGAGGGCTCCAGAGCAAACTGATTCATGCAGCAGCCAAATCACTCGCTCACAATTTTAATGCCAGCAGCTCACAGAGTAGAATTTTTGCCCACAGGACTCCACAGCTTAGAGGGAGCATTGGTTTCAACACCAGAAATTTTAGTTTTAGAAAAAACATAGCGTTAAGGATCTCTTCCATCTTCCTCCCCCATTCCACCTGAACTGTTCTCATAGTATTTTGGGAGCAAGCAATGATTTTGTTGTTACACTTCCCATTACACCGCTGTGGTGGTTCTCATAAAAGTAAAGTGGCTTTCCAAGTCTCCATAGCTGGTTAGACTATGATTGCTATAAGAAATGAGTTACCTGGTGCATTTATCTTTGGAGCCAAGAACATTTTTCCTTTTTGCTGCAAGAAGGGAGAGAGGTTGTGAAACAGAAAGAAAGACCCTGAGTTGTAGGCTTGACTGCAAGCAGCGTCATCTTCTTTTAGCTCAGACAAATATCTGCAGTGGGGAAAGGATCAGAAAGAGCATGAAAAGACCAAGCCTAGGTTATTTGGTGGTAGAGGATGCTGTATTCATCATCCCCAGATACTCAAAAACACATTAATAATAAATGTCCAGTGGAGACTAAAATAAAAATCCAGTGGATGCTAAAATGTACCCAGCAATATTTTTGAATTAACATCTGGCGCCACACAGTATTTGCTAAAGAGCTTAAAGAGTCTTTAAAACTTTAATTTTGGCCTTCTTTAACATTTCTAGGCACAAACAGATCTGGTTACTTTTCAAAGATCTTACCAAGAACAGTTTTTATTCTTTTGCTTATTAAGGCAACTATCCTATGCAGTCTTACTTGAGAGTAAAGCCCCACAAAGAGAGTAAAGAGGACAGGATTACGTTTCTTGTTCTGACCGTCTTGTCTTTACAAAGGAGGAGGAGAACTGGACGCAAACAAAAAAAATCAGCTGAAGGATCTGCAGCTTCAACTCAATTCCTATTAATCTGAGAGAACCTCTCAGCCAGGCCATATATAATGGCACCAAGCAAAGAATGAGCAGATGCAGATCTCATACTATCATGGTGGGTGGATGTAGAGTATCATACTAGGATCCAGGAGATCCAGGTTCAGATCTCCACTCTGCCATGAAACTTGCTGGATGACCTTGGATCAGTCACTCTTTCAGCCTAACCTACATCACAAGGTTGTTGTGGGGATAAAATGAAGAAGAAAATACCATATGCCACCATGGCCTCCTTAAAGGAATAGGATAAACATGAACTGAATAACTTAACAAATATGGTCATTACATTAGCTACTGCCATATGTACCAATATGGTCATTACATATAGCTACTGCCATATGTACCAATGACAAGAATCGGCTTCATCCCAACACCCTGAAGCACGGCTAAAAAAAATTCACCCAGCTTTTGTAGCAAAGCCAACATTCTGCTTTAGAGGCTACCATTTCTCCTACTCCTGTTATCTATCCTGAACTCAGAACGTAGGATGATATGTGAGGCAACTCTTAAAGCAAGTCCTGGCCCGGCATCCCAGATGTGTGTCCTCTGTTCCACTTCCTCAACCATTATGCAATAGAATAATTTATTGGACGACACACCTGCATAAACACATCACAATACAACTGCTCCTCAGCATCAAATCAGCAAGGCTTTTTAATGTCTTTGCAAAACAATCTGAGAGCATGTCTATCTCAACAGTTTGCATGCTCCCTGTTTTGGCAACATCATGTGAAGTCCTAAGTGCAGAGACAGGACTACCCAGGAAAGAAGGGACTGTATTGTCCTTGCAATCTCTGTTTGCCATGCAAACATCTGTGAGATCTGAACTCCCCATCCATCAGCACCATGAGGTTTAGAGAGACCTGGATGCACAGGCCCACAGACAGATGCAATGTATGTCATAAAACCTTCCTACATACACGTAGCTGAACCCAGTCCACCAACTGCCACAAGTGGTACAAATTGTTTAGGTGCCTGACAACCTCTTTGTTTCTGCAGGCCCGACGAGGCTGAGCAGTCAAAAGGTTTATGATGCTCCAGGTGGGCAGCCATGCATAGTGGGAAGACTGCATTCAACTTGGCCTTGATTTAAAACAGACCGCAGACAAAGTGAAGCCTCACAACAGGTTTACAAAGCAATGGTTTCCACTCCTAGCCCTCTGTCATGCAAGCACAATGCTGAAAATGTTTTTTTGTGATTAGTACGTTCTGCTTTTCCTAGACCTTAACAAAGATCGACATTTTCAAGTATCTTCCCTCATATGCATTGTACAGTGCACCAGAAAGCAATGGCAAAATACAGGATTCATCCTACTACACTAGCAAATACTGTACAGTGCTGGAGTTAACCAAGATAAGCTCAGAACCGCACCCAGGGCCAGAATTTACCTCATTCTCCTGATGTAGGTGGAACAGAACCTGTAACACAGGGAGGGAACTTTTCTATATCCCACACGACAAGCTACAGAGACTACCACCATCTTGGGAAAGAAGCCGCTACAGCTTTTAAAAAAAGAACAAGACCACACATGTTATTATAAATATCCACAAAATGGGTTTGGCTGTAAATGGCCAAGATTTCCAATGTAATTACTATATAAACCAGTTTCTCTCAGAGAGCAACAACCATGCAATTTGACAGCGGATGTACGGGTATAAACAGTACTGTACTTTGCTCTGGTATGCATGAATGGGAAATGGCTCTGAAATGACTAGATAAGCTCCCATTATCTCCTTTAGACCCTAGTTTTGAGTACCTTTTTACCATCCCTGTCCTGCTTTAGTGGGAGGCTTTTTAAATAACAAATCAGGGTGCACCACTTTTCCTTTCATCCTGGCGTCTTCCCTCACCGCCTGTAGTAGTTGCATTTGATTTGGCAGCTACTGTGCAGATACAACCAGTAGCAAAATTAAACCGTCACCATGGAAAACCATAAAGCTTCGTAGGGTATACTAAACATAAAAATAGCAGAGGGTGGGGTTATGGAGGCACTCGCCTCAGAAGCGGCGCCAAGTCAAGCTACCGCAGAAGACGTGAACACAGCAGGAAAAGAAAAGTTCCCGCTAGTAGTTTGGGGGGGAGGGGCAATCCTTTAGTACGAGAATAGGGGTGTTCAGCACACAAACGTCCTCCCTATTTTCATCTGAAGATGCTGCAGGATATGTAGAGGAGCTCCAGAAGACAACTTTAGAAGCGTAGTTTTTATATTTAAGGAAACCGTACCGAATTTCTCGGAAGCCCATTATATTGTGAGTTTTACAGAAAGTAGCATTTGAAAGGTTAAATTCCTAACTGCAGGCAGAGAGTGAAAACACAGATCTGGTTTCTTCCAGACAGCCTACCTATCAATTTCAATTCCCTCAGAAACTGAGCCCCAGTCAGGAAAGACAAATATACGCCTCGCACTTACTGTTTGCAAAGGCAGCTCCTGTTTCCGTCAGAAAGCGCTTAGCGCTCTAGTACTGTGACCGACATGGATTTTCTAGGAGTCGGCCTCACCAGTGTGCCTATTGAAGGTGAACTACAGCACCCAGAATCCTTTGCTCCAAAGCAGATCTCTGGGAAGTGTAGTTTCACTAAAAAAATTCCTTTCATAATATATTCAGGATGGAGATATATGGTTGCTGTTAGATCGCGCTAACAAAGGACTCGTAGAGTGATTCAGCAAGTGATTCAGCTTTATTTAGAAGTAACGAACAAGCACTAACTCAGTAAGAAACCAGAACAGAAAACAGTGGGAGCTTATGCTCCTTTTAAACATAACCGGGCTAATGTAGCCACGCCTATTTACAAATAACAACCAATGAGATTGCTAGGATAAAGACCAATGGGAGTCTTTCCCTCCTAGGGAATGGTATCGTTCTGATTGGTCGCTGTTACGAAGCGACCAATAGGAAGCTTGCTCAGAGGAGCCCTGGTCTGGCTCGAAGCTTAACATGGGAGTCCTATGAGGTGATTCATGTAATCATTTCAATACATTACAGTTGCCCGCTCCAGTTTTGGAAATTGGGGGGGGGTGGAGCCTGAGGAGAGTGGGGTTTAGGGAGGGGGGAAACTTCGGTGGAGTATAATGCCATACAGTCCACCCACCAAAGCAGCCATTTTCTCCAAGGTTGCCTGGAGATCAGCTGTAATAATGGGAGATATCCAGCCCCCACCTGGAGGTTGGCAACCCTGTACATAAACTGGCATTTTTCTAAAGCCTGATGAATATAAGAGAGACTTGGGAGGGTAGGAGTCAAAGCCCAGTGGTATGAGTTCAGCACAAAAGCTATCTATTCACCTGGAGTTGTAGGGTTGCCAGGTCTTACCTGGCTGCTGGTGGGGGGGGGGCTCTTTCTCCCCTGGAGTTTTCAGTGTGCGAGCAAAGTGTGCATGCCACAATGACGTCAACCGGAAGTGTCGTCATCGCACAGGGCGCAATGCAGGGGGACGCTCTATCATTTGAGGAGAAACTCTATGGTAACCATAGAGTTTTTTTCTCAAATGATACAACATCACCCCGCAATGTGCCCTGCGACATGACGCCACCCCTGGGTGACGTCATTACACCGGGCACGTTGGCACAGATGGGGGTCTTTGGGGGCAGGGTTCCCCTCACCGGCTGGATCAGGGCCAGTGGATCGGGGCCTCCGAAAGCAGGTAAACCCCCGCCCCCGTTGGGAGAATGGCAACCCTATGGTGTTGCCAGCTCCATTAGAACCTGGGGAGAGCAAAGGCTGAGAAGGAAGCTTAGCAGGGATATTATACTATAGTTCCACCCCTAGTGCTGCCATTTTCTTCAGGGGAACTAAACTCTGTAGTCTGGAGATCAGTTGTAATTCCAGAACTCCAGGCCCCACCTGGAGGATGGCAGCCCTCCAAAAGGAACAAAAAGGCCTTGTAGCATCTTAGAAGTTTTAAAGACTTTTAAAACTATTTTGTATAGTGCACCCTTATATGTGTTTGCTTAGTGCAACCCAACAAGTGTGGAAAAGCCCTCTTTAATAATTTTTTACATAGTTTGTGGAAAACCAGGAGATGGGGATGCCAGACTCCAGGTGGGATGTGGGGATCCCCCAGAATTACTGCTCATCTCCAGGTTACAGAGATCAGTTCCCTGGAGAAAATGGCTACTTTGGAGGGTGGACTCCATGGCATTGAACCTCACTGAGATCCTTGTCCTCTCCAGGCTCCATTCCCAAATCTCCAGGAATTTCCCAACCTGGATCTGGCAACCCTGCCCCCTCCCCTGCCGGTGGCTGGAGGGACCTGGCAACCCTACCAGGAGAGCAGGCCATTCCATAAGGTGGGGTCCACTCTGGAGAAAGCACAAATACTGGCTGTTGCTTATTTTGCCCATTTTGCTTATATCCTACAAATACAAGGATTCACTACAATATGGGGTTGCCACCTCCCAGTGGGGAAATACCTGGAGATTTTCATGCTGGAGCCTAAGGAAGGCAAAATTTGGGGAGGTAATTTTGAATCCAGATTATTAATTCTGAATCCAGAGTTTAAAATTACTTATTAAAATAAGAACAGAAGCCCCAGCCTTAGCTTCTTTCTTTTCATTTATTTATTTATTTATTTATTTCAGCTTACTACCCCGCTCTAACCCCCTAAGGGGTCTCTGAGCGGCTACAGTTACTCATTTATCCCTAACCTATGGCCACAATTATTAGGGGTGGGGACAATCCCTACCGGCACCCAGTGGAGGGGTTTTTCTCCAGGTCGGCTACTTCAACTTCGGCGTCACTCGGCTTCTGGCTCCTTTCTGGCGGTCTTTCAGTAGCGGATCGGTCGGGCCCTTCTGTCACACGGCATGCTCTGGCGTGGCCTTGGCTCAGTCCTCGCGGCTCCGCTCCGCCTGTGCCATCCAAGCTCGCGTGTCGTCCTGGCTCCGCCTTTCTGCCGACGTCTGTTCCGCCTCCGATGTACCCGGACGCCATCTTCACCACTCGCCGCTTGCCGCTTTTGCCGTCCACCGGGCTCCGACGCTCCAACGACCCCCACAGCGGGGGAGGGTGCCCCCTACCTTCTAAGGTAGGTTCCCATTTATCTACTTGCGCATTTTTTATGTTAGTTGGCGCTTTCGAACCACTGGGTTAGCGGGAGCTGGGAAAAGGGCCAGGTGCTCACTCTGGCCGCGGCGGGTTTCGAACAGCTGTAACAGTTGTTCGTGGATGTTATTATTAGCAGGCGTTTAACCGCCCGCGCCACCGCTCCCTTTTATAAAGCCTCCTAAGCTGCTTCACTTCATGAAAATGTCTTAACAGAGCACAACTGCCGCAATCCTGATATAATTGTAATTCCAGAAGACCTCTGTACCCTGCCTGGAGATTAACAACCCAAAACCTAACCTACTACAAAGTAGGGTCATCAGCCTTCAGGTGGTAGCAAGAGATCTCCTGCTATTACAATTGATCTGCAAATATATCAATTACTCCTGTTTCTCTTCATCTTTTTCTTGGCTGGGCAGCCCCTTTTCTTTCTTCTTTGTTTTTCTGCCTGTGCCACCCAGTATATACAGATATATGCTGCCCCCCCCCCCCACTGAGGGACTAGTTAAAATCCTTCTTTTGTTTTTGTCTGACAATGGCAATTCAAGACTAATTCAAAACTAACAAATTATTTCATTTTTGAGGAGAAATGATCAGGTAGCTATCAGGTTTAGGATTTAGAAGGCAAACTGATAAATCACCAGGCCCAGATGGCATACATCCGAGAGTTATGAAAGAACTCAAATGTGAACTTGTGGATCTCCTGACAAAAATATGTAATCTTTCCTTAAAATCTGCCTCCATTCCTGAGGACTGGAAGGTAGCTAATGTCACTCCCATCTTTAAAAAGGGTTCCAGAGGAGATCCGGGAAATTACAGGCCAGTCAGTCTGACGTCGATACCGGGTAAATTGGTGGAAACCATTATTAAGGAAAGAATTAGTAGGCACATAGATGAACAAAACCTATTGAGGCAGACTCAACATGGGTTCTGTAAGGGAAGATCTTGTCTCACTAACCTATTAGTGTTCTTTGAGGGGGTGAACAAACATGTGGACAAGGGGGATCCAATAGATATTATTTACCTTGACTTCCAGAAAGCTTTTGATAAAGTTCCTCATCAAAGGCTCATAAGTAAGCTCAAAAATCATGGGATAAAAGGACAAGTCCTTTTATGGATCAAAAACTGGCTAATTAATAGAAAACAGAGAGTGAGTATAAATGGGCAGTTCTCCCAGTGGAGGGGGGTAAGCAGTGGGGTACCACAGGGATCAGTACTTGGTCCACTGCTTTTTAACTTGTTCATTAATGATTTGGAGTTGGGAGTAAGCAGTGAAGTGGCTAAATTTGCGGATGATACGAAGTTGTTCAGGGTGGTGAAACATCTCATTTGCCTAGCTCAGGAACCTTCTTGATCCTCTCCTTCCACTTAAACCTTCACTGTCTACTGCCATTCTTACCTGCCAGTCCTAACTGACACTCTCAACTGTAGAATTCCGTTTGAATCCC